CTTGAGTCCGAAAACCCACGGCGTGTGTTTTTCGTGCAGGAGCCAAGAACAAGAGACCTAAACAAAAGCACGTCGTCTTCTTCAGTGTCCCTTTTCACAAGACTGTTAGTGCGCACATCATCTTCGTTCTCTGTCTGTTTTGAGCATGGCAATATATATATATACGAATGTTAATAAATGTAATATTAAATTTTAATATTAAGGGCTTGTTTCCTCTTTTGTTAGACACAATAATAATGAAAATAACACACATTGATGCCAAGAAGCATATCGGGGATGTTATTAGTTATAACTGTAATATAAATGTGAAGAAAGAAAAGTGGACAAAATGATAAAACTTGATGCTAATAGGGACCCAATTGAACCTTCGGCCTTGCAACAACATGTCCTAAGCTCTACTAGTTGAGCTATGGTGGCAGTCATCCCTTGGGCGACTTCGTAGAGTGTATATATGTGCATTTTAAACGTGGCAGTGTCAGTCAACACTGCCAGTAGCCATTAGAGCGACTGTGGAACACTTCTGCCTATCGGCGTCATGTAGCACATGATCTTATTATGAGCCGGCAGCTGACCATTAATCTCTAGCATACAATCTGAAGGCATCAAGTCTGGGAAAATGGGACATTTGCAATGAATGAAGAAAAAAAAGTAATTTTGAAGGGCTCGTTTACTTTGTTATACACAATATCAAAGGAGTACTGGCGTGATTCACGATTTGTAGACATCGCGAAAGGGCCAGTATTCATTCTCTTGGTATGCAGTGTCGACACTCTGCACACACTACTGCAGTTTGGCAAAACATATAAAAAATATTTATTTTCATTTTAAAGTTTTCGTCGCTGAGCATCTGCAAGCCAGCTTCACTGCAATGGACATCCCAATCAGCCAATACAGTTCCTGAATTTGCGAGCTGTGCATCCTACATGCAGTCAATACTGTAGGAATCACTTTCGGCATTACTGGACGACATTAACTCTTCGTTGTTTATGTGCACCATGAGCCGATGACAGATTTCTCGCTAGTACATCGTCAGTTGTCGTCTTCCCATGATTTCACACTGCTATAACACGTTCCTGAGAAGTCAACACTCGATATTGAAACTGAAAATGTCTTTTAGGGCAGCAGTAAAAAAAATTTTCAATATAATCCCAGCCACCGAAGTACTTGTTTTAGGTTTCTCGACACCAGTACATCTATTTCCAGCAAATATCTGAAAGTTCTTGAAATTCGTGTCAGTACCTTTTTATGAAAACTAACAAACTGATACGAAGGAAATTATAGGGGATTTTATTTGTTATTTGTTGTAATTGTAGTGTAAAGTGAAGAATAAAATGTGGACGAAAAGATAACTTGTTGCGGGCAGAAACCGAAGCTGCAACCTTTGAATAATGTGTCCTATGCTCTCTGTCTCTCTCTTTGTATGTGTGTGTACACAGAGAGAGAGAGAAAGAAAGAGAGTGGCAAATCTTTCTCATCCGATTCATATTTAGGAAGTGAATACTATATTTAAGAATGCTGTACTGACTGACAAACTCTCTTGTTTGTTGATTCACACGCTTGTTTTCTCGCTGGATAGTGTGACATCTCAAAAGGAGTACGTAAAGTTCTTTTTTTTTGAGCGTTACTTTTTTTAGTTCTGGATCTGTGTGGACGGAAGGTGGCTAAAGGTTTCAGACAACAACGGGATAAAGAGCACGTAATGCAAACCGTGTCAAAAAAAAAAAAAGAAGGTTCTTGGGCTATACGAGGATTCTTTGCATATACTAAACTGATTTATATGTTTATTTTTAGAAAGAAACAAGAATGAAAAAGTGTTCAGTCTATGACCTCAAATTGAACTGGAGAAATATGCACGAAATGTATGTATTATGCATTAAGCCTTTAGATTACCCAGAATACTTTGAGTGGTCATGTGTCCACCTTTGTGCAGTTTTGTCATACTTTCTCATGGATGCAAAGCTAGAGTATCTATAGTGTCAATACAAGGTATTTTCTTCAGCATAAATGTACTTGTAATGGCGATGTTATCTTCTCATTAAACTACCATACCTGGAGACAGAACTTGGCAAAACATTTTGGATAAAACGTGATCTTACAAGCATCTGGGACACCGCAACTTGTCAATGTTAGCAGTGCTAATTTGATCAGCTCAAACTAAAGCCTACTCCTCATAATAGTGTTGTAATTTTTGGTGTTCAACATATCTTGTGATTTCGTGCATAACTTTAAACATTTCATGCTTGCAGTAGGAAACAAGTGCTTTTTATTCATGGTTGGGCATCTGCTTCCATCACAGAAGAAAGGGGACATTTGTATATGTGTCACATACAATGTAAGGAACAGCCAGTACCAAAGACATGGGACAGCAGTTGAGAGGTCCACCAAGCTTCTTAAACAAACCTCGCTCCACTCTAGAAGATAATGCGAAAGGAGCCAGGCACTTGGAGGGACAAGAGCATGTATGATCTGCCAGACAGAATTTTTGTAGGCACAGAGTAGACTGCAGGATAAGGGTAGCAATGGAGAGAAATTTGGTGTCCCGACTTCTCGTAGAGAAGCTTCCTTTGTGGAACTTCCCAAAATTTGCAAACTGCGGCATCTGTTGCCTCATAGGACAGTATTACTCACCAAATGAACTTCCTACAGATACACTGGTGAGAGTGTCTGTTCTCTGTCAATGAAGGAAAGAAGTGTACATTTAAAGGCTCGTAATAACTTCATGTGCTGCGTGATGCCCAACAGGCAAATGAAGGGTGTTTCACACTCTCCATCATAGCTACTGGCGGCGCTGACTGACGCTTTCACGTTTAATGCACATATATACCCCATAAAGTGGACGAAGGGATCACCGCCATAGTAGTTGATAATAGTAGAGGATCGGACGTGTTATTTGAAGGTCTCAGGCGCAGTCCCTGCCCATGGCAAGTTATGCTTTCGTCCACTTTTCTTTCTTCACACATACATTACATTTACTTCTAATAATGTTCCCAATAATTTCCTTGGCATGATTGTTTGTTATATCTTACCAATATTGTTCTCTGTGAAGTAATAGATAGAATAAAAAGTAGCTGAATCTTCTCTTTGTAAAAAATAGGTGCCTTAAAACAGACTCATCCTCCACTAAGACTTTTCCTATTGTAAAATAGAAGAGAATTGTACCGAATTTACCAATAGCCTCTGTTGCTCATTTTGTATAGTTTTCTGTTTTTTTTTTTTGAATAAGACAATACCGTTCTTTCAATTCAATGCAGTTAGTTTATTTAACTTATTGCATAAAGAATAATTGAAAAATGGCTTTACTGTATGATAATACAATGAAAGGTGGCTGTAAAATGAAAGCCAAGACACAAATCGCACGACATGGACAAGTGTGGTCTTGTAGCATCAAGAAACACAACTACGGAGAGTGTAGCTGCCATTGGTTTCATGTGGGACCCATTTTTGTTCATGACAAATATAATTGTCATGAGTCATTTTGGTACAAAATCTCATGACTACTATACTCATCAACAGGAGAGAAAGGATTAAAGTAAACCTCTCTATGCCTCCTTTATCAGGTTTTTGCATGATCTCAAGATTCAGTATGTCTGCTCAGTGTGCTTTATGCCAAGGTGAACGCGTCTTGGAGATAGCCCAATAACAGACTGAGCGGATCTTGGAGATGGCACGAGGTTCACCCATCCCATATACAGTGTAATATACTGCTGCATGGATCGATCACATGTGTCATGTGGTATGCTGCAAAGCCTGAAGTTAAATATTTTCAAGTATTTAATAAAGCATTTATTTGATTGCTTTCCAAAAAGTTTGCTTTTTTAATACCAACATTATATTTGCATAACTATCTGTAACTGTCAATTCCGTAGCTACAATTTTAGATCACAGATCCTTAACAGAGTGCCAAGAATTATTCATCCCCGAAAATTTTTATATGGCCCTCTGAAAAGCCCTACCAACTGTAGCATGAACTTAGAAGTAAAAAAGGAAGACTATTGTTAGCACTGCTGATGTGCCTGGAGCTGCCCGATTTGCCTTTGTAATGGTGTGCTTCTCTTGAAAATGCAGGGAGTCCTCTGTACCCCTTTATCTTATGAAGGGCTGAATGAAATCTGGTTTGGTAACCTTATAGATGCACAATTGTACCTACCTGCGGTGTCTAGTACCACAGGATCATCACATCATTTTATGGTGACGTAAACAGGCTCCTTCATAAAGTCTGTCTACTAAGCTTTACAGGTAATAAGCAGAACAAACAAATACGTTTGGTCATGCGCAACATCACAAAACATATTGCCTAACTAGGTAAGTCTATGGCTATGTAGCTAAGCAGCAGTGAATCATGTGCACCCAAATCGTGCACCCAAATCTGAGTACACGGGCCTACAACATTTCCGCCTCCATCGGAAATGCAGCCGCCACAGCCGGGATTTGATCCCGCGACCTGCGGGTCAGCAGCCGAGTACCTTAGCCACTAGACCACCGTGGCGGGGCGTTTCGACTTGCACAGCTAATGGGATGCCCACCTTGTGAATTTTTGAGATTGTTTACTTCGTTGTCGCATTCACTGAAAATATATGTACTGCTAAAATTTGTAGCACAGATCACAGCATAAGTTCTACCTGTTTCTGCTCAAAATGAGTCTGCTGCAATATATGCTCTTAAATTCAATGCATAGTAGAGCCGAGTGAACCTTTAGTACATATACACATTTGTACATTTTTCATAAGTTTGCAATGAAGCATATTACATTCGCATGAACTATATAGCCCATCCAGTTGGGGAATTACCTAACTTTGTCCTCTGAAGAACGTCACTAAAACAAATTCACGATAATGCCATCCACAAGATAAAGTCACAAAATCAGCAATGTTATGTCCACATTACCTTTCTTGTATGCAGTGTTCCCATATACATTCTTCTTAGTCATGCATCACAAATTCGTTCACGCTTCTACCAGAGTAACCAGGACTGTTTTTTTTTTTCTTGCAACCCAACAGCAGCCTCCAAGGAACTGCTCATATCAGTGTATGCTTGGATGCCTCATCACTCTGAACCTACCTAAAGTCAGCGGAGAATGTGTCATCACTGAAAGCAAGCTCATGGGCCAAAATCCTCGCAAGGTATGGTTGAAGATACTTTATTTATTGAACATAATTTGTTCAACCATTTCTGTCTTACCCTGCTCATGAGTCTGTTTTTTTTTTCTTCTCAGAAAACTGGACTAAAAAGAGACCATTGATTTCCAACGTACCCACATCCAGTCGTAAGCTCTACAGTTGCCATAGTGATAACCCCATGCGCCACCAATATGCCAGGCGGACAAATGGAAGTCTTATACTGAAAAGCAGTGATAGCATATGGTATGTTCAAGCTGTATGAAATTGGGTGCACAGATTGTTGTTTTTTGCTTTATGAATTACCCAGTTTACAGGAAATGTGCAGGCGTCAAAATTCTTGGACAATGCATGTCATGGGGTGCACATACTGTACTTCACTCTACGTGTTAAACTTTGCATATAGTATCACATACAACTAGGTAACAAATGGGTTTGTAGTAGTGCATATTTAGCAGCACTTCGTTTTCACATTGTGTGTAGATTGCTGTGAATGTAAAGACTGTTGCAAGGCAGTGGTAGGTACAGCTATAGTAGTGTTGAAACAGTTACTGATACCACGTGCATGTTGGGAGTGACACTATCAAAGTACTAAAAAAAACTGTGCAAGAGCTCGTGCCTTCATTAAGCAAGACTTGTCCTGCAGAGGTAGCAATTGCGGAGCCGAACCATGAGAATAAAATACCTAGAAGAATAAGAATGGGTTGATCACATTCGGCAAGCATTCTCAAATCATGAATGATAATCTGTCACTAACCCTCAAGAGGAAGGTATGTAACAGCTGCGTCTTGCCCGTACTTACCTACGAAGCAGAAAGTGTGCCGCCCATGAAATTTGATTATTCTGTTTCGCCTGCCTCAGCAACAAAAACAAAGCAAGATGCTTCGGGTGGGGTTGAAAGCACTGTCGTACAACATACGTGGGTTAGAAAAAAAGCGCCGCGAATAGCCACAACCCAAGCATTAATCGGTGTACGTTACGGTGAAAACTTTTATTATTCCGTTGAGCATTCCGTTGAGTATTCCGTTCGGTATTCCGTTGAGCATGAAACAGGCTGTACCTTGCCATTTTTTCCTGCATTGCGAGCTGCACTTCCGTACTTCAAAATTTTATTGTATTTTTGCCAAACTATCAAACACTCAAAATTCATGCACAGCGGCGATAAACTGTGTGTCTGATGCAAGTGATCAAGCAGTGTTCTTAACTGAATTTCAGCCCACTATAATTATGGCGCTCCTAAATAATGAAACGTTACCGAAAGCAACCAAATTTTTTATTGTAAACAAAACCGCTGTAGTAGGAATACCTAAAATCAGTTTGCAGATTTTATGCTTTTATAACTGACCCAATTAAAGCATTTTTAGGTAAACTTTGGGTGGTTATGGTGCATGTGAGGATATGGTGGACCAAGTGTGACAGTTGCCATCTGGAAGCAGCTTTCCTTTCTGAGCCTAGGTGACTAACGCAGTAGTGCAATCTTTATTTGGAAGAAGTGTTACCATGTTCTCAAAGGTAGCTTATGTGAATAACCTACTTTCTTCTGCAGGGCCACTGCTCCTGCAAGGCTGGAAACTCTGAGCGTTGCAGACATATGATTGCAATGTTGCTACATGTGAACAGGCAAGGAGCAGTATTCAATTGTATAAAACACCAGCCAAGCATACAGATAGCAAAACAATGCGATCCAAACTTCCATCAATGTTTTCTACAGTGATGAAACTTGTAGCTGGGCGCTTTGGTTCACACTTGAAGGTAAAACTGGTATGTGCTTATAAACTCGGCAGGGACATGGAAAGAATTAATATGAACAGGCGCCAACTTTCAGCTTTTATTTATCATCACCTTGCAATATATATTCATGATACAGACATGTGCAAGTGCACGTAGTCACATGGTCATAATCAAACAGGTTACAAAAAGGCATGCAAAAATTTGCACTCACTATCAAATGATGATACTGATCTGTCGCTATCACAAGCATTGCCTCTTACAGCAACTGGCCTTCTCACACTCTCAGGCATAGCATACACACTATTTGAATCCATAGTGTCCAAAACTCAGAAACAAACAAACATTAAAGGTGGTTCTAATTTTCCCTTTGCCACTTTCGGCTTTTAATGCTGCAGCAGCCAGCATTCAAATGCACTGATGCTTCTGGTGCCTCTAGAACGATTCAATGGGGCTACTGTCTCAACAAAAATTGTTCGTAAACTCTGATGGTAGTACCAGAAGCTGCACCACCAAAAATATTTGTGCGAAAACCTTTTACAGCATTTTTTTTCTTCAATTTGCCTCTCCTCAATCAAGTAGCTCAAGACTGACTGCACATAAATATTTTGTATAAGTAGCTAAAGTTACAAATGAGTGAAAAAGTAATTTTATGGTTCACTATGGTCTCTTCATGCTGTTTGGTTCATGCTAGAATCACTGCTAAAGACTTATTGATACAGAGCAAAATAAATTCTCAAAACCGGGAACATTGACGTGCACAACAAAATGTTCAAGTTAACTGTGTAACAGGCATGTCTCAGAAAGTGAGCCAACATCACAGGTTACTAACCAATAAACCTTTATGTGCGACTTTGCAAAACATGCTCGACACGTGCTTCCCAAGTAATCTATTTCGCAGCACTGCAATGTAGCAGAAGCTATTTTGAGTGTTATTTGTGGTTCCTTTCATTTTATTAATAGGACTGGCATCCAGAACTTGGACCTGCTGACGTCTACTGATGTTACACAAGCCTGGGGCAAGTTAAAGACGAATGCACTATATGAGGCCTGTAAACTCAAAGAACTGTGCCATGTACAGTGCAAACCGCTGCCAATTCTGGGCACCAAACAACAAGAAATACGCCAGCGACTGATTGCGACAGCACACCAGAGTGCATTGGCGCTGCATCAGCGTGCCAGAATGCACTATATTGAAAGCAATCAAGTTTGCGAATGTGCCACTATTCAGGAGCAAATTTTAATCAAGCACATCATGAAGAATGAAATGGAACAATACAGTGAACTTATGTTCCATGACATGGCATTCAGTGATGCAACAGCAATGAGAATTTATAAGTTTTCCAAAAATGACCTTGCGAAAAATGAGCTTCAATTCTACATCACACACATTAAACTCACTGAAGAGGAGGCACTTCTAATGTGCACCGAGACAAGGCATCAGGACAACACAAAGTGGCGAAGAGCTCGAAAAGTGAGGATAACAGGGAGCATATGTCACGCTTATTTTACATACATTCCAAAAGATCCAACATCTTGTGAAAGCAAGGGGTCCAAAATGCTCTCCGAAAGCTTTTGGGGAAATAACGCTACTCGTTATGGTAAACACTGCAAACAATTAGCCATTGAGAAATACAGCAGCATAACCATAAACGACGTTTCAAAGATCGGTTTCGTTGTTCACCCAAAGGATCCATGGCTTGGATACAGCCCAGATGGTGTTGTTTTCAAGAATTCCAACCCTGCAATTTTGTTGGAAGTCAAGAGCCCTGTACTGGGAAAAACTTCAACTGCTGCCCAACTTGCTATGCAAAAGAAGCTTGCCTACATAAAGAAGAACGGCGAAAACTTCACTGTGAACCCTAGGCATCCATACTTCTTGCAGGTGCAGCTTGGCATGTTTCTTTTGAACTTGGCTGTTACACACTTCGTAGTGTATTCAGAACTGGAGTTGATATGAACTGTGCATAGAAATGATGACCACATCGACAAACTTGTCCGCAAGCTGCAATTTGTGTATTTCAAGCATGTTTTGCCGAAACTTGCCGAGCTTGCTTAAGGATGAGCAGGCTATGCATTTCTGTTCAGTAACATTTGGCCTCAATTACCTGCTCTGCCATGTTAAGTTCTTAAGGACTGAGGATAGGGCAAAATTTAATAAAATCAGATTTAGATTTTTTGGTTGTTTGTGATGATAGAGCTTTCCTTAACAATATTCGATTCCCCACACATTTTTGTGTGTTTTGATTAAGCTGAACGACCTGGCTTTTGAAGACCAACTGACGAGCAGCTAAGTCCCTTTTTTTCTCAGAGCGTGCACAACCTGGGGTTCCTGGCTCAAGTGAATATAAGGATACTTGCTTGAGAAAGTTAGTATCTATTCATTGTAATGTTATTGCGCGCCACTTAGATGACGAAGACTTTTGTAGGACCACTGTGATACCATACTTTCACAATGTTTCCCATAGTCTGAAAACGACTGGGAGCCGTGTCTGAGTGCAAGCGGTTCTTCTGGCACCCCGTAAGTTCTCATCACTTTGCAGGGTAACAAAGAAAAATGTGACTGGAACAAATGTTTGCACAACTAACCACAAAAACAAGTTTGTGGATTGTGTCCAAAAAGTGGTGGTGTGATACCGCTCTCGTGCGGAAGGACACCTAGGCTTGCATTGTCAAGATTGCAGATGTCAGCCGAAGTCTCATGAAACCAAGGTGGTCGCTATACACAGTTATTAGATGCGCGAAACCATTGAGGTGTCAGAGATTATTCGACTGCGGAATGGCTGCATCAGTATCCCATATGTGGGACTAACGCAAAACGATGTAATGTATCTGTATTCGTAATGTAGGGTTGTGCGATAGGTATGTGATTTCTCGGCATGTGTGGTTATCAGCAGTGTACTGTTTACATGTTTGTAAATCAATCTTTGTCAACATTTTCTTTCTAACCATGAAACACGATTGTACAAAAGCATCATGTGTCCGTCTAATAAACCCAGCTAAAAGTTTGTGCTTGTGTCCGTGTGGTTCAGTCTTCGTCGTCTAAGCGGTGTGCCATAACTTAAAAATCAAGTGAATGGTTTTTAAAATTGAAACCAGTAGTTCTTATTAGCGTAACAGACTTCCAGAAAAGTATTATGGCTACTTAAAGGTACTTGATGCTGCTTTTCTTAAACATGTGTTGCATTCACCTAGGCCTATTGCCTTCTGTGTCCAGGACGTGCATGTAGGCGCTGTTCTGTGCATCCATTTTCAGTTTAGTTGCACTATTATTGATTTTGTTGCGGTGGTAAATGATATTCTCCATTTATTTATGTGGAGCTTCCACAAACTGTGATTTAGAGTAATTGTATCTGCACAGAATGCAAAGGAACCATGGAACACATAGAGAGCACAATGTATCATGTTTATTTAAATAAAAAGCCCCCAAAACTGCCACCTTTGAAATTGTTCTGACTATTTGAAAGGCCTACATGGCCGCACTAAACACTATCAAGGCCGTTTGGGCGTAACGCTGCGATATGATTTGGTGCAATCGACCGCCATTATCAGTATTTGGCCAATAGAGACGGAAGTTACAGCAAAGTAAACCAGGAACAAAGAAAGGGAGATGATCCATGTCATGATTTCATGGCAGATGATCTATTCGAACAAAACAAGAAATGAACTTTTTTTTCCCTTCAGCTCTCTATAAGTCGAAGCTATTTTTTTGTTACCTTTGACCAATTATCAGAACAACCTAGAAAAATTTGGCAGATCCGACATACCATGAGAATCTTATAGTATACGAAACATGCGGAAGGGAAGTGACTGTGCTGTAATTGATTCATTCAGTAAAACATTACAAAATGATGCTAAATATATGCACAAATGTACGTACGCACAGTCACATGCGTTTTATATAACCAGTTGTTAAGAGTTCCGTAACAATTCCAACAGCAACGTGGATATTACCAACATCAGAAGTGGTTAACTGATATGTATCCCTTATGCTTGCGAGGACAGTAGTCCTAGCTAGTGCAACCTAAACTAACTTTGGAGGATGGCACCCAACTCCAAATGATGTTAACTCGACATGACACCTGCATCATTGGAGTACATGGGTAATATTTAGGTACATATAATTAGGTAGCAAGCACCACAATTGACACTGCACTAGCATTATGGCTACACAGGGCCTTTTTCCAAAACTGTTTCGAGACCTGGTGTGGTACTATGGTAGAATGTTTGAATGCCCCAAAGAATCACCAATGTTTGTTCTCGCCATTCCTAGGTAGATAAAAACTGTCAATGACCTTTCTCGCATTACCAGTCTACCATGACCCATGATAACAGGTATGGGCCACACGTGTCTTGAAGAAAGGTTTAGACGATGTATGTGACATGATTGTCCCGTTATTCATATCATGATCAGCCACATATATTCTCAAAACCCTCTTATCCTTCCATACTAATTTTGGTCTACCCCAAGTCAAGGAGGCGATCATGAGGCATATCATCCAGGCTTAGGCGGCGAGACAGATAGCCTGCAGTTCGCTAAGAAATACTTCCAATTTAAGACAGAAGATCAATTCTTCCTCAAATAAACCAAACATCAATACGAAGCTACCGAACTATAATGAGGTAACGACGAAATGTACATGCTTCGCTAAACAAATGTGAAAAATATCAACAGTGGATAGATTATTATCATTTAGTTCCACTGCAATAACATGCTAATGCACAAAATGAAACAAACCCAAACACTTTACATGCAGTAAAAAAAAATGCCTGCTACTGAAGCTTTAGAATACATGGGAGATATGGGCCTACCCTCTGCCCTTAAGATATGTGTAATGTCACTCGTCACTCGTCATGTAATGTCACTCGTCATGTGCTCTATACACAGCGATGATGTGAGCAGTCGGAAGCATCAATGGGTTTTTGAATAATAATGTGGTAGCATTAAAGAGCTCGTTTCACTGAAATTCCGGCGCCGGGATTGTTGGTTGTGAGTGAACAATAATCTTGTCCATGATTGAAAAATCGAGACATATGCGAATAAAATAAGTAATGAATTTCCGGGCCCAGATGAGGATTGAGCTCAGGCCATTTGCGTGGCTAGCAGGTGTTCTACCACACAGCTATGCATATGCTTAGGAGTACACCGAAAATAACTTCCTCAGCTCGGAGATGCAGTTAAAACAACTCTTTTCACAAACACACGTGTCCTGGGTGGGGGGGGTACAACTGTGCATCGACATAGAAGAAAAAGAAGATTGCTTTCGTTTTGAAGTCTTCTTAGATGATTGCTTAAGGGACCCTGTGTGTCGGTTCGTTAACTCAATAGTCTTTACACAGCACAATGGTGTGTTATCCCTCATGTTGTGGTGCTCAGCTTCTACATTGACCTCAGTTTCTGACTACCTGCACAAGTTCTACTACATTTCATTGCAAACACAAGTTCCATAATATCACTCGAACCTTTTCTCAGAGAGAATAGGGGAGGAGAGATTTACAATTCCACCAATCACCAATATTTCATCAAGGGCGCCAACAACTTCCCAAGGTACAGGTTCCTTCAGAACTTTAAAAACTTTCATCCTCTGGAGAGCACGCACGACGTGCACACGTGCCCTGGCTATTTTTAGAGTCTTTTCCGAGTCTTTCGCCGTGAACTGCAGCTGTCCACAAAGAAATGGAGGCTGCACAACCCCCAGCCCAAGGTTTTCGCATAGCGAGCCCAAGTTGAAGCCTTTGTCAACCATGACATCATCTTCAAAACTGTCGAGTTTTTCTAGAACTCCCGATTTCTCTACGCAAGTCCTGTCCGACGTTCGGCCTCCGAAACCGCAGCTCACAAAAGTAATTAAGCCAGCAGGTGAGACGCCAACAAGAAGCTTTGCTGTGTGTGTACCTTTGTAATGAGAGTATGTTAAAATTCTACAAGATGCACAGTGCGATTTTTCTACGGCAACCTCTGTGCAGTCTAGCACAACACGTACCTCTTTATATTCTTCAAAGCATTGAGGCAGATTGCTTGCAATTTCTTGTTTGTTTGGCCATGGAATTGCACATTTCAGTGCCGTTGCAAGGTTACACAGTGTGCTGTAGAAGTGGCGAGAGATGGTTGTGCGGCTCACAGAAAATAGTGGTGCCATACACACAAAGGGTAAGCAAGTTTTCAATCGCACAAGAACGAGAATGACTCGTTCAAGAGTAGACATTTCAGCTACTGCGGCTTCAATCCTACTCACTTCATTACTAATGGCTACAAGCAAAGTCATTGATGACACACCAGTAAAAGCAAGCACAGTATTATCTGATGTCAGCATATCTACAAGCCTGAACTGCTTCCCTATAATGGAGTCTACATCGACCTGGATGCCTTTGTCTTGTGTGCACATGATGTCTGGTACATCCTTCATGCACTGCGAAAGCTGAAGAAGGGCTTCTGCAACCTCCACTGTTGATACAGCTGTAGCAGTTGCACCACTAGCACATGGATGTGATGCAGTTTCCTGGCCCTGCTCATGTACCTGCACGCAAGAAAGATTTCCCATAAAGACAGATTCAAGCAAATGCAAGTGTGCCGAGAATCTTCTAATTCTTAGAAGAAATGACGTCAAAATGATTGAACTTGTTTTGGCTTGCTATAAAAAGCAATTACATAGCTCGTTTGGCTTTGTAATTGTTTTTAAATGCTTCATAGCATCACATATATACACAGTTGTCTAACAACTGATGATGCGTGCCATAGTGTGATGCCATGATCTTATACTGTTTATATCAATTTGTGCATACGGTTGAACCCTTTTATAAGAGGCATACACCGGGGAGCAATTCTTGTCATGTACATGAGATGTATCTTATGAGCAGGGTACCACGTAAGCATTTTCTTATGAACTTCTATTTAAATCTACGCACACTAGTGTCTCTTATATCCAATTGTTTCTTACATTAGTGTCTCTAATAAATGGGTTTGACTGTATCAGTGTTCTGGCATTTCACTCCCTGCTTATCTTGTCAGCTGCTTAACTAATTGTTTCTGTGATAAAGTGGCATGTTGAGATTTTCGACTACGGAGCAAAATATGAGAAAATCTAAGGTACATGCTGCAACAACCCTATTTTGAAACAAGAGTATGAATGCTTGCAATAGGTGAAATGTGGCATATTTTTTTCCTGAAGCGTCTCTAAAAATCGGTAGAAGTTTTCACTTTATATTCGATGATAATGCATAAGTTGATATGCATTCCTTGAGCCGTTTTGTGATTTTACCCTGTGCATACCTTGCATACTAGCTCGTGCTGCTCACTTCATTCTCCGCTGTCGTCCTGCCAGCTATTAATGGTGCCAATATCGAAGGTTAGATCAGTGTACGGCTTATGATTGTAAAAAAGTTGCCAGAGGGCGTAACAACGCTTTGAGGGATACGTGTTTCAAGCTATTGACATAAAGTTGTTCTCTCTGGTTAGTATAAATCTTTATTTTAGTTTCCAAGCTTTCACCCTGGATACATATAACTACAATAGCACTACATATTACAGCATATGATTGAGCCCTTACATCACAAAGGGCTCCATCGGGGTTCTCTTCATAAGATGGCACATGCACAGGTTGAGCAGGCTCCCAACATGTTCCTTGAGAAGCTGATCCTGCGCAAAAGTAAAATGAAAGAATTCGTAAACATTCTGCATTACAAAAGAGTATACAGGCACAGTGACAGCTCAGAGTGTACTTACGATATGTTGAACATGCAACCCTGAGGCAGTTTATATTAAAGAGTGATTGAAAACTGCTTTATCTTGGCCATAGCACGACATGGGCATACTTTGAATAGTTGTAGATTGGTTTACATTTTCTAGCCCCAGATGAGTGCAAGCAGCTCTACTGAGCAGCACATTTTATTCTTGTTTGCAGTGATGTAGTCTAGCCATGTGAGTAATGCTTTAAGTTAGCCCTGTTATGTCCTGAATTTCAAGATATTATCTGGCATCAAAGGTTGGCAAACTCACAAGTGAACTCCCTCAAACTCGAAGTGGTGAGTCTGTGTATGAGTGAGTCGGGGTAAGTAATTTAGTCAATTTGAGCCCCGATTGAGAAAATGTTTTGTAAGCCTGAGGTCGAATGAGCCCTAAGGGCAAAATGTATTTGCCGAGCGTGAGTTAGCTCCACATGTTTTGCCGACATATGTCAGGCATTAATACATCTTGTGACCACCTGAAATCACTGCAAAGAAGCCAATTCTTGGAGAGTAAAGGAGTGTAACTGAAAGCTCTCACTTCCTGTCCTGTCATTTCTTCACTGCTTGAGCTGGAGCACGAGAAAATGCTGTTTGGATGATGTCACAAGCCACATTCTATGCCTTGTTAGTTTTTTTTTTTTGCTGCAGACTTTTTACAACATGCACTCGAAACTGCACAGCAGCTTTTTCATGTGAAATAGTCGGAGCGATAAGTTTTGGCAGCCAATCAGTCTGGCTCATTTATGGTTCGTCAACCATGCATTTCTGCAGCCAGCTGTTGCATTTTTTTTTTAAAGACTTAGGCACTTTCAAGTTTCTTTCAAATGTGATTGCAAGGCACAGACTCAACACAAAAGACAAACAGAGACACAAAGGCAGTGTGAACTCTACATAAGGACAAACAACGACACAAAAACGCGCTCTGTGTGTGTCTTCTTCGTGCCTTTGTTTCTCGAAGTGGTGAGTGCACGTTTCAACCAATTGCTAATATTGGTGTCATGCACTTATCGACACTTTGCACGAGTTTCGTTGTGTGCATTCTTAGCAGTTCCATGACGCACAATTCAGTGGTAGCCTTAATGTCGGGTAGCATTGTTTTGCAGTGTCTGCAACATCATGGTGGTTGCAGAAGAAATTAGAATTCTAAGAAATCTAGGAGAGATGAAACCTTTGCCTATGGACAGTGTAGAGATCGCTGACAGCCAGTAGTGCTTAAATAGCTTGCAGCACTTTCAGAACAGAATTGGTTTGACATTACACAACTGACTATTTTCTTACAACTGACTATCTTACATTTTAGTTACATTTCTAGTGCATCGGGCATCTATGCCTCCTCTTTTACGAGCCGTTCCTGTCAGTTTAATCAGAGTGGTGGTTTGCTTCGATGCTCTCTGGCGTATTGCATCCGGCTAAAGATACTTCCCGAATCAAGGCATTGTTTGGTGGCCTCACTCCCTCTGTTGGCAATGGTTTAAAAGTATCCAAGATTCTATGCTCGGAATGGCTTCGGCAGGCTCGCCTGTACCGTCAAGCCCTGCAAATACAACTTCTCGGGAACGATCGCACAGCAGCTAAACAAAAGAAGTGTCGTGAACTCTTCAGCCTCGTGGACCCTGTCCAGTCCCTTTTTTGCTGTGTTCGCGCGCTGAAAAAAACTTGCAAATATGACTATCTACGGGCTTACTATCTTTTCTAATCTAGCAGAACAAATGCCGACTAATAAACAATATACCACAGTGCGACCCACTTATGGTCGATTCCACAGCCTTCCAAGGTTTCTTTGTTGTATGCCCTGTGTGGCGTAGTCATAATAAATGTTAATAATAACAAACATACCATGCTCATGTCTAGCAGAGGCACGGGCATCTCGCGCTGCTGCTTCCTGAATCCTTGCCAGGTCTTCTTTTTCATGTGTTCTTAATGGGCAAGCTCCGCGAAGGCACAGCAGTCTTCTTCAGTCGTCTTCGATTAGGTGTCCACAATTTGGGATTTACATAGTGAGGATTGAAATGAAATCCTGCAAATTCATGTGCCACAACAACAATCTAATTTAGTGCATTACAGAAAAGCACATTTCGAATACCTTACTGTTACACGAGCATTCAATGCATGCATGGTAGCCAAGCATTTTACGTAATTCTGCATTCATAACGATGCACCGGCCATCGGTGGAATTAAAAATTAAAATGTTTTGTTGGTTAAACCAGATTGCTAATGCACACTAATGAGACTTAAAAACCAGTCGCAAAGCTATCGCGTTAAAAAGCAAAGCCTGTGTCACAATGAAATTTATCTCGCGATCAGGGCTGATTTGCATCGGGCTTGGTCCAGATCAATCGCCCCTACAATGCCACTTGCGATTAAGTGTGATTGGGATTGATATGATCGCGGTTTCATTGACGTCTGCACCAAACATGATCCGGACAGGTTTTTGCCGTGAAACAGCGGTCAGCGTTGATTACGAAATTCGATCCGGATCGGCCCTGATCGCAATGAAAGAGCCCGCGAGGAAAGACACCAAAGTGCAGTCGCGCATTCCGGTCTGTTAAAAAGACCGACAGAATGTCAAAATTAACGCTCCCTTCATTTTATGCGGGCGACAGACGCCCAGGCACTAGCTCCCTAACTCTCCAAAAGCAACAATCAAGTGTTGCGGTGTTTACGTCCATCGTCCCGCATCGACGGCGCCGTTCATTTCAACAATATCATTAGAGCGTAATCCTTATGCTTTCCTGAACAATGTCAACAATTAGCATTTGGCTTACCGATGCTGCTCCAGAAGAAGTCTTCGGTGACAAAATGTGCGCTGCAATCCTTCATTGGCGGCGTCACAGGCTTGCCTATACGGAGCTTCACCACCCACTCCTTCTTGAGTCGCACGTCCAGCGGAAACGAATGAAGGCTTATCTCATCCTTCACCGCTCTGTTCGTGCACTGAGGCACGCAACACATCCTGTTGCTTTTCGATTTTTTGCCATCGCGTGCATGAAAGTTGGTAAGAAACGAAAACCCCGCCTGGCTCCACTACTCAACGAATCATCTCTGAGATTTTGCTCTCGCCGGCCGCTACGTGGCGCGACCATCTGTGTGCATTGCGATCACGATGGGAAGGTTTTTTTCTATGACAGCCACGACCTGTTGTCGTTGGTCGTGACCAGAGTTATTGTGGCCATGGCTACGGCATGTTTGATACTACAATTCAAATATGTAACAAAACGCCATTTTTGCAGTTCACATTTATAACATGGTGGCCATGATGTGTTTTCGGCTTCCAAAATTTGGTTTTTTGTGTTTGCAGCTCGTTTGTGTCAAAGACTCAGAGATGGCTGTCAGTCCATGTGCAAGTTTCAACACCATGTGTTTCGAAATGTCATTCCACTAATTTTATACATTTAAAAATAAAGTTTATTTTAATATTATTTTCTAATTTTAAAGATACAAAGAAGCGTGGTAAAGCATGCATTGATTATCTGCTACGCAGAGGACATCTATGCTACGTCGCTAGGCGACGCGCCAATCGTGCCAATAGTTATCTTTGTTGCTTTTTTTTTTTAGGAAAGGACACTCACAACCTGAGCAAGAAGGAAAGGCCGGAAAAGGCACTGCTGCCCTTGTTGGAGCGCTGGGTGACTACGAAAGGTGTGTAACGGCTGTGAGTTATTCGTACCGCTGTTGCTGGCGCTGTGCTGTCGGTGGTCATGTGAAGAGTTACTAACACAAGGCATCCACCCCCCTCTATCCTAGGAGCTGGCCGCACCGCTGTTCATCGTCCATGCACTGTGAACGAAGTTCCTGCCTCCAACGAATCGAGCCCGAAACGCCCGCCGTGAGAAATTGTTGGGTTTAAGACTAACGCTACGCTACTTTTTGAGCCCTGAGCTGCAAGGCCTGCTTACGACGGTCGACATGCAAGAGGTGCAGCAACGTGAGCCACGCTTTAGCCCCGTTGCGTCTTCTTTCTCCCGCGCAGAAATGCCAGCGGCGCAGTGTGTCCGCTGTCACAGTAGCAACAGTCGGCGCGACTTTACCGTCCTGCCATGCTTCCACGCAGTTTGCCTGAAGTGCCTCGACGAAGTTCCCGACAAGGGTTGCGATGCGGTCGGCTACAAGTGCCCGCTTTGCCAGGAGAATCTTTACGCGTTATCTCAGTCGATTCTCATTAGCAACATTCTGAATGTCGTTCACGAAGACTTCGATTACAGCGCCTGTAGCAACTGCAATGAGGGCAAACGGGCTTCGGGGCGCTGCCGAGACTGCAACAATGAGCTGCTCTGCGACAACTGTGTTTGGGCCCATCAACGGGTGCGTCTCACCAAAGACCATGAGATCGTCAGCGTCTCTTCCAACAGCACCACGGCGTCGGCCATGCCACCTGCTGACACAAGCCTCACTCAGTCCTGGTCCGACCGTCATGACTGTCAGGTGTTGCGGCTTTACTGCGAGACATGCTGCGAGGCGCTCTGCAGTGATTGCACTGTCAAAGAACACGGATCCCACAGCCTGGTGTACCTGCAGGACGCACTCGACAGTGCGCGCACAGCTGTGCCGTCTACACTGGCTGATATGCGTTCCGTGGTCACTGTCCTCCAAGAGAGCATGGAGCGCTCACGCCGAATGTCTGAACGTTTGCGCGTGCGCACCCAGAATGTAGCCGCTGAAGTACGAAGCACGGCCGGACGCCACCGCGTCGCCCTGAACCAGCGCGAGCGAGACCTGTTGCAGCGGCTTGACCAGGCGCAGCAAGTGAAAGAGCAGGCGCTCAAACGGCAACGTGACCAGCTGAGCGCGAAGCTCGAGCGTCTGGAGCGGGCCGCTAGCGCCCTGCAGCAGGCAGGTGACGACCTTGATTTGCTGCGAGCCCGTCGTGAAGCCCAAGCACAGCTGCAAGAGGCTCGAGACGCGCCAACCGAGCCTGCCGAGGACGATCAAATTGAGTTCACCGCACCCGACGGCGCATTGCTGGGAGCCATCGGCACCCTAGGATTTTTGAGCAGCGCCGGCTACGGACCCAATTCGAACGCCACAGGTGAGGCGCTAGTGCGTGCTGTTCGCGGTCGAAACGCCATATTTACTGTGCACGCACGCGACCATTTGGGCGAGTCTCGGCTCTTGGGCGGAGACCCGGTCCAGGTGACGGTGCGAGCTCCGGACGGAAGCCTCTGTCGCGCGGATGTAGTCGATCGTCACGACGGCACCTATCAGGTGACCTTTCAGCCGCAACAGGAGGGTGTACACATCGTGCGCGTCCTGCTGCGTGGTGCAGACATCCAGAGGAGCCCATTTGCAGTTTCAGTGCGCGCAAGTCGCAACTATGCGGCCATCAGCGGTGCTAGCCTCGTGATTGGAACAGAAGGCAGCGGTGACGGCCAGCTTTGCCGCCCCTGGGGTGTATGCACAGACTCCCAAGGTCACATTATTGTCGCAGACAGGAGCAACAACCGTATCCAAGTGTTCAACGCAGATGGAAGCTTTCGCCTTAAGTTTGGCACTCGTGGAGATCTGCCAGGTCAATTTGATCGGCCTGCTGGTGTAGCCTGGGACGAAACTCATGGAGGACGAATCGTCGTTGCAGATAAGGACAACCATCGTGTGCAAGCTTTTGACTCTCGTGGCACTTTTCTTCTAACATTCGGCGAATGGGGCAGCAAGAGTGGCCAGTTCAACTACCCATGGGATGTTGCAGTCAACTCGGAAGGACACATTTTGGTGTCTGATACTCGTAACCATCGAGTGCAGCTGTTTCAGGCAGATGGAACTTTCCTCAACAAGTATGGCTTTGAGGGGCCCCTGTGGAAGCAGTTTGATTCGCCCCGTGGTGTGGCCTTTATTGGTGACGGACATGTAGTAGTCACAGACTTCAATAACCATCGAGTGCTTGTGATCCGGCCCGATTTTCAGTCGGCGAGCTATCTGGGTGGTGAAGGGAAAGAGCCAGGCCTGTTTCAGCGACCACAGGGTGTGGCTGTTGATCTGGAGGGCCACATTGTGGTCGCAGACTCTCGCAACCACCGGCTGCAGGTGTTCCGGCCTGATGGCAAGCTGCTTGTCTGCTTTGGCTCTCAGGGTCAGGAGCCTGGCCAGCTAGACCTTCCCTCGGGGCTCTGCATATCACCTGAAGGTCGAATCGTCGTCGTCGACTTTGGCAACAACAGGGTGCAGCTCTTCTAATCAGGTCCATGCAGCTGATTCAACACCTTTTGTGTTCCTTTGTTTTTGTTGCTCTTTGTTTTTTTTTGTAATGGATGAAATTGTGTTCTTAATGTGCTCGATGGTTAGCCTGTTTTAGAGAGGCCTTGTCACTGCTGGTTTAACTTGTTCATAACTGTGGGCCTTATGGTGAATCAAGCACACTAGTCAGTTGTCAAAAGCATCCTGGGTCTTTGTCCCACATGCATAAGCCAATATGAAGTGTGCAATAATGTAAGTCGATGCAGCTGCCCGTATTACTCAAGTCTTTTTATGCCAATTTATTGCCTCAAAGTACCTGCCCAGCAGAAGTACGGCACTTTTAACAGCCTGAGTGTTTTTAATTGTGTAGTCACAGGTTTGCAAAGCATGTCTAGACTAAACATTTGAGGTTCTAGAGCAACCAAAAAAAAAGTTCCTATTTTTTATATACTATCGTCAATTTTATACTCTGGTTTCTGTGCACCAGCCTGGTCGTCTGTTTTCGCAGAAGTTCCTATGTGCCATACTACAAGGTTCCTTCTAAATGTACAAAAATTGTGCTGCAGAAACTACAAAGGGTGACAGAAGACCTATGCCAAGTGTGAGAAATTAGCTTATCATTGCCACTGGCAGAAAGTAAGAGCTTTTACTATTTTTTCTTCCTTTTATTTGTGTCAGCACCATTGCCAATGGAGGTGCATTTGAATGTGCTTAAAATCATTTTGATGCGTTTTTGTATTTGTTATAGTCAAGATTTTTTTGTTTAATTTTTCTTTTTTATGCCCTTTAGGCTGTTACTTTGGGACTAGCTGCTTTACAAGTGCAGTACTGTAGACTTGCAGCACCAAAGAAAGCTTTGCATGCTTTAGAGGCCTTTGTCAGTCTGCATTTGCATTGCCTGATGCTCATTGTGAAAGATCTGAGTTGTGCTGCATAGTCCTGTTAGTTCAAGCACGGTTTTTTGAATTTTAATTCCCCTGCAAAGGTTTTTGTTTGTTTGTTTTTAAGTGCAAATGCATGTATGTGTTCACTCGTTTGCAATTTGCATAACTCCCTTTTTAAATGCTTTCAGCTTTAAAAGGAGCGTTCTGTGATATGACGGGCATTTTTGCAATCATTTTCTTTCCCTGGCTTTGAGGCAAAGCAGCACGTTATGTACTCGCTGATAGCCAAAAAAAAAAAAAAATTCTGGCTTTGCATAATTGGTGCAGTTAATGCAGGCCTGGGGAAGGCATTATATTTTACATCATTTTCCTGTTTGCCACAAGCTGCACTTAACACATACAACTACTTCGTGCAGCTTTTTTAAGAACCAGTGAACATTCCAAACTTTTCATATTTTCAAGAGCGGTAAACTGGGCACATAATCTTGGAAGGTTTTTAAGATTTTTCTTTTTGCCAGCGGTGTTGGCAGACAGTGCTGCTTTGGCAAAGTTTCAGAGGCAGATCTCAGGAATTGCATTTCTGCCTTGTTTTATGCTATACTATTTTTATGAAGTTTGTGATACGAGAATAAAGTTCCTGAGTTTTTATCCAATCGCATGACTGTTTTTCATTTGGTTCCATTTTTATTTTAGTGGATGCACTATTGTAACTGCATGCTTTTTTGTACAGGTGTTTCATTATTTTTCAGTTCAGGTTTAGTGTCTCCAACATCAATGGCTGGTACTTCCATGAAGCTGAAAACAGAGCATCGCCTTTCTCTTTCTTGCTCTTCGAGGTCTATTTAAATTATCTTGCATGTGTTCTTTCACACAACTCTCCTCTTTTTGTTTTTTTACAATCTGCAGTATGGTGACATATTGACTCCTTAAACAGTGAGCTCGGACTTTCGCTTTTGTTTGCTGCTATCCTAAGACTAACCTGTCATAAGTAAGGCAAGTGTTATCTGTTGCCTGGATTTTTTAGAGGGTGCATGGACAGTCTCATCTGATTAAGGGATGTCTCTAATTTACTGTACCAACCAAGGCAGTATGCTTGCCTTGATCGGTGCTGTCATTTAATTGCTTAGTACGTGGGGCACGGCAGCTGCTATCCTATGCCCACATCATGGAATTCATTGGTGGTGTCTGCATAAGTGTGACCTGCCACTGCTGTGTACCTCTATTTCAGGCTGCATTGCGAGGCTGTGAGGAAGCAGAGTTTTCAGTTCCTATGCTGTGTAAAGTTTTGTAAATGTGTGGACGTGGAATTATCTGTTTGTGCCACTTGAATTTCATAGTTCCTAAGGATAACTCTCGCAACTGCTTTGCTGTGTGTGTGGTTGATGTTCCTACCATTAACTTTTCCACTCAAGGCTGCTGCATAGCTGTTTGTGGTTTGACTTGATTTGATACATCTTCACTGAGCCGTCCAACGGCAGCAACTACCTCACCACACCTGTTGGAGATGCTCGTGTCTGTGAGCTTAGCGACTCTTAAGCTATCGACTGTCTGGTATAAATTACTAAACACAGAGCATCACTGACACCATCTCAAATGGTTCTGAAAGTTCCTAATGCCAGAATGTAGCCGCCTGGTGCACAATGGGACATTTCGGGCATTTACGTGATGAAAACCTTGCAGAAGAGACCTGGTGCATATAGGTAGCGCCAACGCTTCTGCTATTTTGAATCTAAAGGAGACGTATCACAGTTCCTAAGTCGCATTTGCGATGTTTCCAAGCAAAAGTTCCTAGGCTTCAAGAAGCACTTAACTTTTTTAATGGGCAATGTTCCTGTACTGCGTGTGTGTTATGGGGCCTGTATACCTCTCTTTGGGAGCCGTACAGCAACAATTTTACCTCACCTTGTCAGTTGGTCATGACACCTGCTTGGAGCTACAAAACGAATTTTGTTGCATGCCTACATGCAAATAATATACTGCATTGTGGTCGTTGGCTAGATGCAAACATGTCTAGTGGCGTTATTTGTACCCTCGCGTGCGTAAGCATGCATTTCCCGCGTTGCTCTGGCGTCGGGGCTCAACCAATGTGCACCACAAGGTGCAGCAGCGCACACTCAGGGGGACTAAGTCCCTATAAAGCTCTCCTAAGAGGCGTCTTTGTGTTTTCATTGTGCCGTTTATCGCTGTAAATTCAATGTAATATGCTCGCATGGGTTTGACCCTATCTCGTATTTTCGCAACTTCATATCGATACGCGCGGCGTATAATGCAGCTGTGTCAAAGTTCCTGAGCCGAGTGAGTGGCTCTTGTGTGTGAACGCCGTTGCAATTTTTCGCTCGTTTTCCTCGAAAATCATTCCTTTTCGCGATCTCCCTATGGTGTTGGGCTCAGCAACACAGGCTAGCAAGCAAAGCAAAAAAGCTGACTTATCTGTTCAAAAAAAAAAAAAAAGTCGGTCTGCTGCAAGAAGCAGCATGCAGTTTTCAGTGCGAACGTTTTAGTTATTGGCGTACGCTGAATTCCAATGGCAGATTCGTTACAACGCGCCTGCCAATGGGTAGCCAGAAGGTTTTTTTTTTTTTTTTCGGGGGCGGTGGTTGGGAGGGGGGTGACTTCTTTTATGCAGTTGTGCACGTGTTTGCTTGTGTGTGCTTGATTCACACACACAAAATGAAAACTGTGGGGGTAGGAGCTTGGCAGAACCGCCCGCGTCATAGCCCTGGCTTCGCGGCTGGTGCCACCGCTCCGAGTGCGTTGCTGGTAACACTCCTTGTCCAGCAAGTGTGCGATCGGGCGCAACGGATGCCAAAGTACCCGGCTTGCCGTCATTTTCTAAAGACTTCGCATGCGTAATAAGCTTATCCATCGGCTATTTGCCGCACCAGTTTCTGTCCCGCTGCGTCGGGCAGAAAAAACGTGCAGCTATCGCCTTTCTTTGTATGTGCCCAGTAGCGAATGGCCTGCTCGGCGAAGCCGCCAATTTCATGTGGGTTTGCGAATAGGAAGGATCGCCACAGGTGCATTTTATAATGGTTATTGTGAACCTTAAAGGCACATTCTCTAACCGTAACTTTGCTATGGTAACCAAGGAATTGCGAAAAGTTTTTTTTTTCTCCCTGTCGTTGGGCATTTAAACTGTATTCTTCCATATTTAAATTAATGTGGCTGGTTTCCGAGTCGCGTTGCGTTGTAAATGGCCCTCGTTTAAACTTCAAAGAATGCGTTAACTGACCGGTAAACTATGCGAATTGGTCCTGGCAAGCTGTGACTGTACACAATGCGCGCTCATCGTGTCAAATGCGCCGATGTCGTGTGCATGGTCGAGCAATGCTCGTCGGGATGATCTTAAAGGGACACTGAGAAGAAACAAAGACTTTGTTTATATTGACAAACTGCATTCCGACAACTCAAATGCCACATGTTTCGCTATCATGCGTCCATTATTAGCGGAGGAAAGAAAGGTTGTAGTTTCATTTTTTTTTTTTTTACATTTCGCGCCGAGATCTCCGTGCGTGGCGTCATAAATTTAGAAGGTACTTCTTGTAATTTCGTGACAACTGCCTCAATGAATTTCTTTTTTGAAACCTTGTTTTTGGGGTCTGTGGCACCCACAGATGATAATGTACTTCATTTTTGTTTATTAGAGGCTGCGTTGAACCCTCTCGACGCCTTCAAAATCTCTGACGTATGGTATCTGCTGCGGGAATCGCAAGATGGCGTCTCCAGCCGCATTTATTTTTCTCGCCTTTTCTCGTTTACCAAGCATCGTGTCGCAGTAAGAGTGGTGTTTTCGAGATCGTGAATTTGTGCATACGCGAAAAATTGTTTCGCTCTTTAGTGTCCCTTTAACTGTAGTACATCTGTTTTCAGTTTACGTTTCGGCGTGCACTTCGAACAGAAGCGCTGCTCCGCAAAGCCGAACGCGTCGCCCAGTAATTACTGCGAACGTGTTATTGGAATTCAGCGTAAGCCCGTGATCGGACACCCGTGGTACTCATGCCGAGAACGCGTATGCACCGAAAAATCGCTCGACTAGCGATGGGCCTGAAAGACGGCAGCCATCTGGGCCATGCGGGAAGGATTGCTGAAAGTGCGAGCTTTGTTTGCGTGGGGAGCTGAGTTCTTTGCTCATGTAGTCGTTCCTTCAGAAGACGACGCAGTAATATTCATTGTGAGCGTGATTCGAGGCGCTCTGACACTAGGAAAAAAAAAAGTCGTCCAGGGGACCGAAAGATACAGCATATATTGTTGGAGTTAGCCTAGCTACACTTACCGAGGAAGCACAAAGTGCCGAGGAGTCTAGTTTAGCAGGATCCCCCTATTCCAGCTTGGCTGCTGGTATTTGGAAAAGCGGCAACTACGAAAGCTATTTTTCTGACAAGAGCAAAGCTCGGAACGCGTATGGATATCACTTAGAAGTGTGACGCGAGCACTTGCAATAATGTTCCTGCGTACAGTCAGGCGTAGCCTGTCGCTCTTCAAACCGATTAGTATCTTTTTTTTTTTGTTCTTTGTGAGGCATGACAAGAGGGTTTTCAAAACCCAGAACTACATTCACTATTGCGAAGCCCGGTTTCTAAATTTCAACTTCCTTCTTCGAAGCAGCACTCTGGGGCTACCTTGTTTCTTTGCAAGGACCATGGCTTCGTTGAAAGTACGTCCGCGTCGAAGAGGTCTACGCTCGCGAAGCGAGGTTTTCTGTTGCGTGGAAAATGTAAAGTTTATTTATAAAGTACAGTCATCATTCTTGTGCTGTGGCCGCAGTAATTATTGAAATCGGGCTTGGTATCGGCACTTCATCTTTTTATTAAAGCATGTTTCGCTAGCAAAAAAAGCTCAATAGTAGATCCCTGAAGATACTTTTTTTTCTGTTTTTTTTCCCATTAGCTTGGCTTAAATTATTGCGCTAACGAGCGCTTAGTATGTACATTTTTTCCCTCACTTCGCACACTTTGACGGAAAAGCGAGGTGTTATTGTTCTATATCACGACTTCCGGAGGAAAGGTCCCTTGTGCGCGAGACAGCAAGTTGTATTCCTGCAGGAATGAGATGACTAATTACCTGGTCTAAGGGGGTCGTCGATAACGGCGTGCACTATGCCAAACGTCTCCACGATACTCGTAGCGCCAAGGCCTCCCGAGACCAGGAAGTGTTTAGTGTGCAGTAAGAAGGTGCAGGAAAAAAAATAAAAACTAAAAAAAAGTCGTGCTCAAGGCATCACATGCCTGAGAGCGATAAGTATATACTTCTGTTGTCGGTGAATTGTGCGTAGCTGTGTGTTTTCTGGTGTCACTATAGTGTTTCACGTGTCAGTGGTGGATATAATGACGCTTATATTGTCGTGTGTTGCGCTTTCGTGAACATGTGACTGTGCGAACTGTTCTCCCTGTGAACTCGAAAGTGATGTCGCAACATGCGACTTTGTATCGTTCACTTGTTTCTGTGGCCGATAGAAATGGCTCTAGGAAGGGGTGTTCTTAACACAGAGCAGTCTTAAAAGTGCGTCCACATAAGAAGCCAAAGTGAGAGAAGATGCGGGCTGTTGGAATTGGTGTTTTTTTTTTCGAATTTCTGTTCGAATTAAGCTGCGGGTGAGGTTAGCCCGGCTCAAATAAGTACGCCCATTTCGCATAGTTAGCGACCATATTGATTAAAA